TGATTAAAGGGAAGGCCAACAATTCAAACTGAGGTATCCATTGATTCCATTTCCTTTAAAAAATAAAAGTTATAAGATATTAGAATGAAAATTAATTATTTGAGTAGATGTCATTCTCCAACAACAACATTCAGTACCACAGGTTAAATAAAGTATATGAAAATTATCTGATAAGTATTTCTCTTTTCTCAACACCATGTGGTATTCACCATCAGCTTGGTAGTTCTTTTTCCATACACTAGGGGGAGGTGTGACATAATTACTCTGGAGGGGTGATGGGCAAATGCATTTTCATACCACTGAGTGTCTTATTAGACGCTGTTCTAATCTCTCTTCAATTGCAAAATACTATATCTAATTAAAGCCAATAAATTAAACCATGATATCCTTTCCTAGGAAATTTCTAATCCAATTGTTCTTTTTTCTTATGCTAAGTTTCTCAAAAGAGTGTTTTATAATTCCCTTTAATTAGTATGTAATTCAAAAAACCAAAGATTTGTGGGTTTTGTGATTAATAAGTGAGTGTATATAACTACTCTTAAATTAACTGTTGCCTTTAAGGCCTCAAAGCTTCAGTTTCCAAGGTACCTTGTGTTGGGACAGATACTAATCCCAAAGAGACATAAAGCTGTAGTTAAGCACCCAAGCAAGCAAAGCAACCCAGACTTCTACAACAAAGCTCCAGCTTCATTGTTTAGCACAGTATATGCATGATAGACTACCTATTTACAGAATACAAAGACATTTTAGGATTTTAAGATCTGGCTGTAAGAGTTTCTCTTTGGATTTTTAAAGTGTAGAGTCTCTTAAGGGAGTGATAAATTTTGGATACAGATCAGACTGCAAATTCAGACTATAGGTTATCTTATTGAAACCTCCGGGAAATAAATAGCTCCTTTACCTGAATCTTTAAGCAATTATCCCAACAACAATCTTCAGAACTTTCTTGTAATTGGTCTGGATTTGATTTTCTTTGAATCCTGAATGATTCATGGTACAGACTTGTATGCTAGTCATTCACAATTTATAAATGGCAACTTAACTTCAGTATTTATGAATTGCAATCAATACTCTAGCAATCAAAACACTCACCCTTTCAATTTTTTTTGTTGTTGTTCTTAACTCTCTTCCAGAACCACTGGATCACTAGCAAATCAGTCTTCAATTGTGAGAATAGTGTGAGAAAATGAATCTTTACAATTACAAACTGAAGTTGGAGAAGAACGTGAACCTGGAGTCGGGATGGATGTGTGTGTGTGTATGTGTGTGTGCGGTTACCTATGAAACAGCAATCTTAACAGAGCTGTTGATCTACCTTCCTGACCTACAGTCTGCCTCTATGTGTAGGAGCTGTAGCAAACGTGATTTTTTTCAATGGCTATTTTGTCTTCAGGACATCAAATGCAAACCGCCCTGTGGAACTTTAAGACCCAGACTGGAAGTGCACAGAACACCACGGCTATTGTGCGTGCATGTGTGTCTGCCTTACCTTGGGCCTGGGCTGGGATGGAAAGGGGCGATGGACTGGAAAGGGTAGACCCCGGAGTGCCGCGTAGGCAGCTGTGCGTTTCAACAAGCTAACACGCTGGGATCGACAGCGAACCCTTTTCCTCAGAGGACGGGCGGCCTCCCTGGCCACGGGCGCCTGCGTTTCTTCTGAAATACTTTCGTAATCAAGTGAGTTTCCTTGCATGGGTGCCTGGGGACACCCGGTTTTTCTCTCAGGGTGAAGAAAGTTCCGTCGGGAGCCTCGTTGCTCGCGGTGTTTTCTCACCAGCGGCGTTGGCGGAAGGCGGGCCTGCGAACACCCTGGGATTCACACACCCCGAAAAGCACCGAAACACACACGGCACCGGGAAGAGGCGCGCGGGCACTCACCACACCACAGCACACACTCACCACATCACGCACCACTCACCACACGGCACACTCACCACACGGCACACTCACCACACGGCACACTCACCACACCTCACACGCACCACACCACACCACACCGCACACTCACCACACCACACCACAAGCAGCACCACACGCACCATGCACACAACACACCACACACAGCACCACGCACCACACCCCCCGCACCTCGCTCGCAAAGCCGCGCGCTCTCAGGGGTTCTGCGCCCTCCCTGGCATGGGTGAGTGCGTGTGCGTGCGTGCGTGCGATCGAGTGTCTCTGTATGTGCGGGAAAGACCGCAGCTCCCTTATTCTGCAAGCACGCTGCTGCTCCTATTTCTGTGTATATCGGACAAAAAAAAATAATAAATCACTGTCAAACATTTTTTTTATTCTCTTTCCCAGAGCAAGGGAAGCGCTTTTCCCGGTCGTTAGAGACCCAAGCGAGCCGGCGGCGGGGTTGTGAGCGAACACCGCCTCCGCCGCGCCCAGGACCCCGGCCGGCGGGCTGGGCTCGCAGCTCACCGATCTAATCAATGGCTCCGGAGCGCTGCGGACTCTGGCTCCGCCCCCACCAGTCTCCTCGCCGCCTCCTATTGGGCGCGGGCCGAGGAGGCGGGGCCTTTCTCCTCGGGCGGATTGGCTGGCAGGGAATCGGTATCAATGTTTAAGCGGCGGCGTGAGGTGAATAGTCAGTCGGCGAGAGACGCTGGGGAGAGCGCCCGGCGGCTGCGGCAGCGGCCCAGGGCGGCTGAGGAGACGTTCCTCCAACTGTTGAATTGAATTTCCGCCTTTCACCCCTCCGCCGCTTCGCTTGCGGAGATGGATTTATTCGCTTTGCAATCCGCACGTTTTCCTCAGGCGTTGGGGTGATCCTGACAGGCACCAGACTGAAAGAGACCACCCGTGACAGAAAAGGAGGAATTAAAAAAAAAAAATCCTCCACAGCAGACTGCACAATTAACTATGCCCACCGATGCCGGACTTTGTGACTAGACAACACTGAGAGAGAAATCTCGAACTGTGGTGCGGGGCTAAGCTGTGAGCAATTTCTGGAAGCCTGATTTTTTTTTTCTTTTTCTGGCACTCTGAGGTGTCTCACGCCTAACCAAGAGGAAAGATTTTTTTTTTTTCAAAAACAAATAAATAAATAAGTACCTCTAGCAAAGCAGACGCCTTGTTTTCCAGCACCTCGGACTCCGGCAGAAAGAGGTAGAGTAAAAGTGCTGCTGGATTCAGCTCCGCCTTCCTCCCTCCCGCCTCTTCTCTCGCTGCCGCCGCCGCCGCCGCCGCTGCTGCTGCTTTTTTAATCCCCCAAACACGAATCTGGTTTTTTTTCTTTCTATAGAGTGAGTCAGAGAAAGCGTTAGGAAGAAGCCGCCACTGAGGTCTGTGAGGCGAGGACTGAGCCGCCGCTTCTGACTCAGCCGGCGGATCCGAACACCTGCATTTCTGGATGTGTCATTCCCCTAGGTCAAGGCGCCTCGAACACCAGAAATAACCCGCAGAGCTGGGTCCCGCGTCCCCGCCGCGGTCGCTGCCCGGGGCCGGCGCCCCCCGCGCCCCCTGCCCGCCCGAGTCGCCCAGGGCGCCTGTGTGAAAGCGAGACTGCAGGACGCACCACGCCGAACCCCGATGGGCTCCTTGCCTCCAGCCCACTCCTCCTACGATTAAAGAAAAAAAAAAAATAGAAGAAAAAAAAAAGAAAACCTGCACGCTATTCGTTTCAAATAGTCACCCCTTTTATTCGTCGCCAAGGTTTTCCTTTCTAGATGAAGAGGACGGGGAGGCTGGGCCCCTGGAAGGAGGTGCTGAATTGCAAGGAGAGAGAGGCACTTGACAGCCCAGCCCTGTGAATGCGGAGCCTGTTTCCCTTCTAGCGGAGACAGGGAGGGTGTGTGTGCGCGAGGGCTGGGAGGGGGCTCCCCCTTCCCTTCATTCGGCCGCCCCTCCCCCTGCAGATCTGCACGTCCAGCCATGAGTTGCCTGTTGATTTCCTTTCGCCTGGGAAGAACGGCAAACTGGAATTAAACTGCTTGCGGAGAAGTCCTGGCTCGCGGGGGAGAGGATGGGATGGTAGCGGCGGCGGCTGGCTCGGCGTGGAGAAATCGCAGTGTGTTCTACGAACAGAGGCGGAGAGACATCTATATATCCCCCCCCCCCCCGCCGCCCCATATAGACGCACACAGCAAATGCTGATGAGGCTGTGGCTTTCTGGATTTTAGGGGAGAGCCTTTCCCGAGGAAGAGAGGGCGGAGCCTGGTAGGGGGAGGAAACTACACATCGGGACACTAGTTCTTTGCGCTGCATTGAGAGAGAGAGAGAGAGCGAGAAGCGAGCGAGAGGGAGAGAGAGAGAGAGATCCGCTCGGCTGGGAGATGCAGTCCGCCGCCGCCGTGGCTTCAGCCAGCAATGCAAGATTAGATCTCTAAATGCAGCAAAACACTGCCTGAACACAGACCAGCCTGCGCGGCGAGCAGACATCTCACGGCGCTCCGAGGAAGATTCAAACATACATCAGCGACTGCCGCTTCGGCGCGGCTCATTCCCATCCATTTCCATCGCGGGAGGCGAGTAACGAGCAAGGATTTCACTTTCCGATCTGCCCGCAGACACACCTCCCCGCGCCCGCCCCCACCCGATGGGAAGACTCCTCCGCAGGCTGTCGGCGGGAGAGGGTCGGCGGCGCCCCAGCGGGAGCGAGCAAAGCCCACCGCGCCTTCCGCTCCTTCTCAGCCCTCCCAGCCTCGATTCCCTTCTGATCGCCGTCCTCATCGCGCAAGTTTGAGCCTCCCGAAGTCCGAGCGGCAGAGACAAAGCCCCGGGCTCGCCCCCCAAGCCGCAGGGAGCCGCCGCCGCCTCGCTCCAAGCCCCCTGCAGCTTCATTGCACCGCCGCTCTCGGCCAGTGCGGATGCTGTAGATCAACAGGTTCGGGGAACTTGAGCGGAATAAGGAGAGACTCTGCCTGGTGCCGCAGCCCGGGGTGCGGAAGGAAGAAGGAAGGACCCACAGACTCCGGGCTCGCCTCGCCCGGGGCCCCCGAGGCTGGCGCGCACCCCCACAGGCTCGCCCCTCCAAGTCCGGCTGCTCCTGCCCGCACCCCACCGATCTGGGATGTACCTTTCCATCTGTTGCTGCTTCTTGCTATGGGCCCCTGCCCTGACGCTCAAAAACCTCAACTACTCCGTGCCCGAGGAGCAAGGGGCCGGCACAGTGATCGGCAACATCGGCAAGGATGCCCGACTGCAGCCCGGGCTAACGCCGGCTGACCGCGGCGGCGGCGGCGGCGGCAGCGGCGGGCGCAGCAAGTCGGGCAGCTACCGGGTGCTGGAGAACTCGGCGCCGCACCTGCTGGACGTGGACGCAGATAGCGGGCTCCTGTACACCAAGCAGCGCATCGACCGCGAGTCCCTGTGCCGCCACAACGCCAGGTGCCAGCTGTCTCTCGAGGTGTTCGCCAACGACAAGGAGATCTGCATGATCAAGGTGGAGATCCAGGACATCAACGACAATGCTCCGTCCTTCCCGTCGGACCAGATCGAGATGGACATCTCGGAGAACGCGGCCCCCGGCACCCGCTTCCCGCTCACCAGCGCCCACGACCCGGACGCGGGCGAAAACGGGCTCCGCACCTACCTGCTCACGCGCGACGACCACGGCCTCTTCGCCCTGGACGTCAAGGCCCGCGGCGACGGCACCAAGTTCCCGGAGCTGGTCATTCAGAAGGCCCTGGACCGCGAGCAGCAGAGCCACCACACGCTGGTGCTGACCGCCCTGGACGGCGGCGAGCCGCCGCGCTCCGCCACCATGCAGATCAACGTGAAGGTGATAGACTCCAACGACAACAGCCCGGTCTTCGAAGCGCCCTCCTACCTGGTGGAACTGCCTGAGAACGCTCCGCTGGGCACCGTGGTCATCGATCTGAACGCCACGGACGCCGACGAGGGCCCCAACGGCGAAGTGCTCTACTCTTTCAGCAGCTACGTCCCCGACCGCGTGCGGGAGCTCTTCTCCATCGACCCCAAGACCGGCCTCATCCGCGTGAAGGGCAACCTGGACTACGAGGAGAACGGGATGCTGGAGATCGACGTGCAGGCCAGAGACCTGGGGCCGAACCCCATCCCAGCCCACTGCAAAGTCACGGTCAAGCTCCTCGACCGCAACGACAACGCGCCGTCCATCGGTTTCGTCTCCGTCCGCCAGGGGGCGCTCAGCGAGGCAGCCCCGCCCGGCACGGTCATCGCCCTGGTGCGGGTCACCGACCGGGACTCGGGCAAGAACGGGCAGCTGCAGTGTCGGGTGCTGGGCGGCGGAGGGACCGGCGGCGGCGGCGGCGGCGGCCTGGGCGGGCCCGGGGGTCCCGTCCCCTTCAAGCTGGAGGAGAACTATGACAACTTCTACACAGTGGTGACTGACCGCCCGCTGGACCGGGAGACCCAGGACGAGTACAACGTGACCATCGTGGCTCGGGACGGGGGCTCGCCTCCGCTCAACTCCACCAAGTCGTTCTCGGTCAAGATCCTGGACGAGAACGACAACCCGCCTCGGTTCACCAAGGGGCTCTACGTGCTGCAGGTGCACGAGAACAACATTCCCGGGGAATACCTAGGCTCCGTGCTCGCCCAGGATCCCGACCTGGGCCAGAACGGTACGGTGTCCTATTCCATCCTGCCCTCGCACATCGGCGACGTGTCCATCTACACCTACGTGTCCGTCAACCCCACCAACGGGGCCATCTACGCCCTGCGCTCCTTCAACTACGAGCAGACCAAGGCCTTTGAGTTCAAGGTGCTCGCCAAGGACTCGGGGGCGCCCGCGCACCTGGAAAGCAACGCCACGGTGAGGGTGACCGTGCTGGACGTGAATGACAACGCGCCCGTGATCGTGTTGCCCACGCTGCAGAACGACACGGCCGAACTGCAGGTGCCGCGCAACGCCGGCCTGGGCTACCTGGTGAGCACCGTGCGCGCGCTGGACAGCGATTTTGGCGAGAGCGGGCGCCTCACCTACGAGATCGTGGACGGCAACGACGACCACCTGTTCGAGATCGACCCGTCCAGCGGCGAGATCCGCACGCTGCACCCCTTCTGGGAAGATGTGACGCCGGTGGTGGAGCTGGTGGTGAAAGTGACGGACCACGGCAAGCCCACCCTGTCCGCAGTGGCCAAGCTCATCATCCGCTCGGTGAGCGGCTCCCTGCCCGAGGGGGTGCCCCGGGTGAACGGCGAGCAGCACCACTGGGACATGTCGCTGCCGCTCATCGTGACTCTGAGCACCATCTCCATCATCCTCCTAGCGGCCATGATCACCATCGCCGTCAAGTGCAAGCGCGAGAACAAGGAGATCCGCACTTACAACTGCCGCATCGCCGAGTACAGCCACCCGCAGCTGGGCGGGGGCAAGGGCAAGAAGAAGAAGATCAACAAGAACGATATCATGCTGGTGCAGAGCGAGGTGGAGGAGAGGAACGCCATGAACGTCATGAACGTGGTGAGCAGCCCCTCCCTGGCCACCTCCCCCATGTACTTCGACTACCAGACCCGCCTGCCCCTGAGCTCGCCCCGGTCGGAGGTGATGTACCTCAAACCGGCCTCCAACAACCTGACTGTCCCCCAGGGGCACGCAGGCTGCCACACCAGCTTCACCGGACAAGGGACTAATGCGAGCGAGACCCCTGCCACTCGGATGTCCATAATTCAGGTAGGACACTTTTAGCGTAGCTGGGACTTCATTTCTATTTCTGGGTTTGGAGCTGTCCTGAAAGCTTTACAACAGGACGAGCCACACTGCCAGAAGCAGTGAGAGGGTTTTTTTTTTTTTTTTAACTGAAATGGTTTACACTTTTGACACTGTGTGGGTGTGTACAATATTTTCTGCAAATAATCCTTCCCCGTGTAGTCTAAGATCTAGTCCAAAGATGTAAATCTCTTACTTCGGTTGAATTTTTAAAGTTTATTTTTATAGGAGTATGAGTATTAGCAGTGTTTAGTATTCATATTTATTTTATTTGCTGGTCCACATTGCTTTTCACACCAAAGGATTCCCAGAGTTAAAAAGTTTTATTTAACCCTTTTAAGATTTTAATTCCATTTAAAAATGATATCAAAATGAAAGAAATTTATATCCAAATACCAAGAAGTTAACTTCTAGAAGTGCAAAATAGCAACTAGTCAGAATTCTAGAGCTGCAGTCAGTTTCAACTAAGTTTTTACCCCCTCAAAAAGTTAGTTGAATGTTTCAAAAGTGTTTTAAAGGACATGAATCCCATCTATTCTTCAACTGAAACTACAGAATAATGCATTAGTTTAGCTTAGGTTTTTGAAATGTGAGTTATAGCCTGAAGCACCTTCAGGAATGTGAGTAAATTCAGTTTGGGGGTAATGACCAACATTATACATGAAAAGTTGCTGTGGTTTTCTTGATCTATTCCTTGGAATCACTGGGAAATGAACATAATATACCTCTGGGTGACAGGCTCATTTTGTGAAATTGAAAATAGAAAGTGTTCTGAATTCCAGGATGCATTTAGTTTGCATACTGTGCACTGTCAGCATTTCTAAGTGATATTTAATATGTATTAGATTATATGATTCAAAATTATTGACATATGGCAAAAACTAAAGACAAAGCATGGGCATCAATTATAGCAACAGTGAGTAACTATACTGTCTTTAGTCAGAGTCTAGTTTATCCACTATTGAGTTGTGACAGAGAAAAACTTAATTCTTGCTTATTATGAATGTGTGTTGCTACAAATTACTCTGGATGAGCAGTACTTGAAATGTAAAATTGAGCTTAACTAAAAGTGACACTTCAGGAGCAAAATTAGTTTGGGGCAAATGAAAATAATTTGTTCATAATTTTGTGCTTTGAAAGGCAAATAACTTAATGACACTTGACTATGTAATGTTTTCATTGTTAAACGGAGTAGTGAAACTTTAAAAACTTACTTTTGTGACATAACAAGCATATCATACACTAATTTCTAGCAAAATCTATTTCCTATGATAGTATAATGTCCTTATAGAAGGTTTGATACTACTAAATACTTGATACTACTAAATGCTAAGGTATCAAATATTAAATCCCAATTTTTAGTGCTTACTACATATCGTTATTCATGATTTTTTGAGGTGTACATGAGATTGAAAAAGAAATAACTCAGTTTTTTTTTAATGTAGCTTCCATGAAAGTTTTTCTTTGACTACGTAAAACTTGGATTTATGGTAGCATCTCTGTAGAAAGAGATATGCCAAAATATAAATTCATAGACCTGCTGTAGTCATTTTATGAATACACAAGTGTTATCTGCATTTTTTGTTTTCTACCATTGAAAATAAAAAGATGTCACAAAGGATTGGCACTTAATCTTCCACTTCAATTGCTGTGAATTGATTTCTTACTTAGTTTCTAGTAAAAATGAAGCTGCTACAGTAGAGCTTCCAGAAAGCGTATTTCTTGGTCCGAGTAGTAAGGAACAACCTTGGATTTAAGTATCCAGAAGGTATTGAGGAATAATGATGCTTATATGCTATAATTATGGATATATTTATTTACACCATGATGTTCTTGAAGCTGGACATTGCTTGAGGTTGATAATGATTATTCCTCTCATTAGCAGTGAAACTTACACCAAAGCAAGTCACACATATATATACAAACACACAGGTTAAAAACACACACACACACACACACACACACACACACACACACACAGGACAAACTGTCTTAACATTCTCCTTCTTCTAGAATTCTAATCCATCCATAAAGACACAAAGTGAGTTTTACTTCTAAATCCTTGAAAATTTTTTTTCAAAGCAGATCAATTTTCCATATTGCTTTTCTTCCATAAATAGCCTCAACATAGACTGTTGGAATAGTTATTTTTTCCTGTTGATTTTTTCGTATTCCTCTAAGGAATACTTTATAAATTGCTAGTATGTTAATTTCCTTTTAATTTATCAGGCTTATTCGAATAGATATCCTGGAAAAGAGCATAAATTAAGTACTGTAACTTTATGTTTTAGCTAGTGTGCTTCAAATACATTGTTCTGAAGTGATGCGCTTAAATCAAAGCGTTCAGGTATCCCACAATCTTGTTTCAAGTGCATTTATTAGTGTGTGTATGTCATACAGCCTATTAAGAAAACACACTAGTAATCTCACATGTATTTCCAAAGGTAGACTTTCATTCCAGAATGTGCAGTTATACTAAGAAAAATTAGCTCTAGTTCATCTGTATTTCCAGAATCTTTTCTGTTGTTTAGAAGCTTCACAGTGTGTTTTTATTAATGGAGTGCAAAGAATTCAACAATTGTGATATAATACCCTGGTACAGTATGGAGATAAGAAATTTTTGAGTTTTATGATCTATGAAGCTCATACTACAGTTAAAGTTGAGATTTGTTTATATTTCAGAGTGATTTGTGCTTCACAGTGTCTAAAATGTTAAAGTTGATGTCTGTTGGTTCTTAGAGACAAGAATATTTTTACTGAATACGAATGCAGAACAATCATGCAAGCTGGTATAGAAACAGTGATTTGTGAGGAGAGATTTTGTTTTAGATAATTTTCAAGTTCCTCAGACAAGTTAAATGTTTAAATAATACATAAGTGACTAAGATATTCACAGTGGTGTGAGCTATAATACAAGTTATAATGAAATGGTTTATTCATATAAAGTGATAAAACTGGTTTTGAAAATAGCTAACAAAGTTTGTGATACATAAGCAAATAGATTGTCATGCAAATATATAATATACTTTTCTAGGACTAATTTTTGTGTGAATTATCTCAAGTATTAATATGAAATCTAAAGTCTATTAATTCCCAAGAATAACTGCTAATCACAGTTTATAAGAATAAGTTGTTAAGTCTCAGGGTGACTTTTCAACAGGTGTTTGCAAGGAAGGCCTCCTAGAGAAAAAGTGAAGAGGTTGGGGACTACTCAGTGACAGGGGAATTTCCAGTTTATTTAAACATCCTTGATTTTCTTATTTTGTAGTGCTACAAAAACATATACTATCAAAGAAAAAAATGTATTGAGCCACCAGGAAAAGATCTAAAATAAATTTTGTAAGGAATAAATTCTTGCTCACTGTTTTACAGATCAATTTCTAAAGATTCACATTAGGCATAGCCTTACAGCCTTTATATTAGAGAGAGAAAATTATTTTGATTTATTTGCATGACTTTTTCAATAAAGGTAGATTAACCTTATGGCAAATTCCTAGAACCAACAAAAATATATAAAATGAGATTGAAGTGTGGAGGATTGAGTATCATAAACAACCTAAACAACAAACTACATATTCAGAATGAAGAGATGTGAGAAAATGTTGTCTTTAATAGCAACATTATCCACTGTCTGCCTTTATCCCCATTTCTCTAATAAAAGAGGCACAAGAGATACTCAGGTTATTCTCAAAATTATGATCTTCAGTATTCTAGTATTCCAATAAATTCAGTAACAAACACAATGTATGAGAAAAATTTCTTTCTTCATTTATAATTTTGAACATATTTGCTGTGATTTTTTTGTTTGATTAGTTCCATCCTTTAGTTTCCATAAACTTCATATACATCTCTATTTACAGAGATTATGATGGGCTGAATGAAGAGAATGTCTTTCTTACTGCATTCCTTCAAGAAATATTGGCCATTTTTTTCCTTAAAAATTTTGAAAAAGTAGAAGTGACAGTTCCTACTATATTAACATGAGTACATAATCATTAAATATTTTCCACTTTGTTGTGCATTAAAAGTATTACAAAGAAAGTAAATAAACCTAATTAAAATACAGTTGACCATTAGTGTTTGGGATATCTTTGAAGAAGAATTTAAAATACAAAAATATCCAAAATGCTATTATTTTTATTTTTTTTACTTTTTTCTAAGTTTATATACATCCATGAGAATTTTACTTCCATTGCAAATATTTGAATTTCTCTATTTTAATAAATGAAAATACAGAAAGTATAATTTTCAACTAAATGAACTAGAAATCACAGAATCTCATTTTTAATATTAGTTGATATGATAATTTCACAAGGTAATAACTTCTTTATTCATTAGTTTTTGGTTTTCAATAAAATAAATGGCAGCTAGGTAACACTTAATCATCCTTACACTGAGATGATAATTCATCAAGTTTTGAAAAATGTCAGAATAAGGTAATTCTTCATTTTATTCGGGTTGCACAAGGGAGTTTTATAATTTTAATAAGTATTATAATATGTAAATCTACACTAGCAATTTTCAAATTTTAATCTTGGCATTTTATTTAAATCTGTGTTATCATTAAAAATATAACAAAAATATTCTTTAAAATTCTTACTCAACAACTTGAATATAGCTCAAGTAAATATATAGTCAATAAAAATTTACATTTTCTAAAACAGGTGGCAACCTTTGACTGTATTGTTCAAGCCACATACATACTCACAGACACACACACACACACACACACAGATAAACATATTTTACAGAAAATTTTCTCCATAAGGTTGATGGTATAATGTTTATTATTTAGTTTTTTACAATGCATAGGTACAGCTTTTAAATGACATTAAAGATTAATTATTAAAAAATAATCCCAGCTTTCATCTCTATTAGTAACTATATATATTTTAAGAGGAAAAACCTTCAAGATCTTCAGATAAATATTTAGTAATGTTTAAAAACATAACATTTCATTTTAT